GGAGACATACACTTCTCAACACATGGGCTATGCAAATTTTTATATTAGTTTAAGGGAATATCTTCAAAACCATCCATCTTGACACCCCGGGAGTCTTGGATATTCCTCTGCTTTCTTCTTCTGTTATTAAACTGTAAATCATTTCACAGAGCAATCTTGAAACAACTAGAACCAGAGCTGCTCCAGTTTACTGTTGCAGTAAAACCTGGTTCTTCACGATAAAGCAAATTTCACAGTAGCTCATTCACACTGCCAGGAGTGCTATAAAAATGTATTGTGAGTAAATTACCAAATGAACAATCTAGTCACATAAACTCACAAAGTAATCTATTCCTCACCTCCCTTTAAATTATCTGCTTTTACAACTCAGTTAATGTCTTTATGCTGGTGCTGTGCAATGCAGTTTGGAAAGAGTTGTTTTTTGTGACATGAGAAGTGAATAAAAAAACAGAAATTTACTCATTTGCTTTTGGCAGATGAGCAGTATTTTCACTCTGGAGGTGATGTAAAACAAGCAAATTGTTTGCATTGCAGGCTATCCGCGTTACACGGTGATTGGTGACCATGGCTCAGGGGAGCATCATTTACGCATCCAGCGTGTCGAGCTGATGGACGACGCTGTGTTTGAGTGCCAGGCCGTCCAGGCTGCCATGAGGTCCCGTCCTGCTCGGCTCACTGTGCTGGGTAAGTCAAATCTAAGCACACTTGGTAGCCATTTAACAATACAGCTGTAGAAGAGCCAAGATGAGCTGGCCAAGCTCATGGATAACTAATGGCCTAAAAGTATCTTCATCATTTTGTAATGATTTTCTAAAATGTATTGGTTCCAGTACTGAATAAACATGTTTGTAATTAGTAAAAAAGGATGGTTAGCCTGAAATAATGCCCAGGCAATATTTGTCTTTTGTTGATGAGAAAAGGATGCAGGCCTAACCATTCTAGGAGCGAAACCCTTTTGAAACCCGTCTGTTCTCTCAGAGCATTTCCCAAGCAAGGATATACAGTATCTAGAACAGGGCACTTCTCCTCATGCACTTAATTACCCTTAACCTTCATGTTTATCTAGGGTGTTTCAGAGTCTATTTTCTCTGTCAGTAGTGAAACTAGAATGGCTGTGTAAATATCCTCCTTGAAATTCTGAATTCCTTTACTTTTGTCGTTCAAGTGTTGTATTTAGTGGTGGTCATGAAATCGTAATACAGCATATTTAATGATGAAAAGATAAATAATGGTTTTATCACAATATTCATACTATTCGATTTATTTGAATTCACCCCAATGGCCATTAAAAGGTTTATTTATAACACATTTCTTTAAGATTTCCCAAGCAAAGATTAAAAAGCAAAAGAAAAACACTAAACAAAGGGCTATTATCAGTTATTAGGCTTTAAAACAAATACCCATGGATTTTTTTCAGAGTGATCAAGTGTAACAAAATTCAAAACACTTTGGGAACATTCAATGTCTATAACAGCCACAAACCTTTTAAATGTTTTAAGCTTGCACAATGTATTTCAAATGAGCATAAAAACCTGAAATGATCTGTTGATAAAACTATACCAAGTAGATCACGATAACACTTTTTCTTTTGTGTTACAAGTTTTAACGTAGGTTATCTGCCTGTATCCTGATAAAAACAGTGCAAACAGACAATTAAGAAAATCTACTCTTGCTCCCTGAAAGGTTACTGTAGTACTTTGATCCTTCTACAGTAGTCAGGTCTAGCGGTATCCCATGGTCTCATCCCAGTGGGATATGCAAGGAAAATCTCCAAAGGGAAGGGGCCAGCAGTGTCTAAACCTGAAATTCATTTAGCAACTCCAACTATAAGCTTTATTAAAAGAAAATAAAATAAAAAAGATGGGGGAAATAGACTATATTGGAGAAAGGTTGTAATTTTTTTCCTAGTTATATGCCTTTTTACATTTTATATGCGCATAAAGGTTTCTCCAACATTCATATTTGCACACTGGGTTGGCTGTAAACTAACTTTCTCTTAGATGTATGTGAACAAGTGTGTGAATCCAAGATTATTGGACCTAATAACATCTCCACAAATACCATGATCACATCCAATGAATGCTGGGTTCCAGTGAAGTCTTGAATAAAACCTTTATTGTTATACAAACGTGGAAAATCGCTCATCTGGTTAAAAATATTTTTTTTTTTTTTTTTCACCATCATCACTGGCATTTTGGAACATATTTGAAGAATTATCACAAAATGAGCTGTCATTAAAACAGTCATAAGAGAAATCTATGAGACACTTGTTAGGACATTTCACCCTATTAAAAATTTGTGTTTTAATTTCTTTGCATTTATGAAGTATCCATTTTTAAAATCCCTTCAAGCTGGAGGGTTCACCAAGTGATAATTTATTTTTAGTGGGGTACCACCGAGGGTTGCCATGTCTGTCTTATTGAGTAATACTCTAAAGCACCTTCAAGCTTCCTGCTGCCTGATACAAATCTCTCTGACTGAATGGTTGCTGGGGAAATAGTTTGGTCCATAACAGAGTAAAGAGAAGAAGAGAAAGAATGAATAAAAAGAGAAGGGGAGACTGAGCAGGGTTGTCTGCCACGCATTCCACACCGTCAGCCACTGATCCACCTTATTGATTCAGCCTAATGAAAAGTGAAACTAACGATTTGTAGGAGAGCAGGAAGCAACGAACAGAGGAAAAGAGAAGACAAAGTGCAGCGTAACTTTCTGCGGTTGGAGAGTGCACCTTACAAATGGATATAAGTGATTGTGCTTTGTTTCTAAAACATAGAAGTGTCTGTTGTGGCTGAACTTTGCACTTGTGACTTCAGTATAGTGTCACTTCCTTATGACATATTTTAGCCTTTAATCTTCCACTTTTTGAACATCAGGGGCAAAAACAAAAATGATTTTTAATTTAGTTTCAATCCTAACTTGATAAAGGGTAATTGCCTAATGATTTGATGAAATTAGGTAAGAGATTATATTTCATGAGGTGGCATTAAAGCTTCGCTCTTTTCTACCAAAGCTTTAAACCCATTAAGATATCTTTTAGAATTTCAGCCAATAATATATATACATATATCATGTGTTTGCAAACATAGTTTTAATATTTATAGAGTTTTGTTTTGCTTTTGTTGTGTTGTTTTCAGTTTATTTGTGTGAATATGTCACTTTTCTGTTTGTTTTTTCTTTTTTTTTCTTATTGTAAAATTCATCTAACTCCTTGTTCTTAGATTGTGTCTGCAAATGCTTTAAATAAGAAAATTTGTCTTATTTTTTGTAATTCATTAAATTAAATCCCTGGAATAGCTATTAGTTATCACATCTATGACACCTTTTATCAGATCATGGATGCAAATTATTGAAAAGCTAGAATTCGGGTAAATTTGTTTTTTCCTTTTTTGTTGGAAAAGTCTTAATAACACTAAGTGTATTCAATAAAACATCTTACTCACAAGACAACATGATATAATAAATATTGTTTACTACATTGAAGAAGATATTTAATGATGTATATATATAAAAAAACAAAAAACAAATAGATAACCGTTACCCATTCATAATAATGTTTCATTAGTGCTTCTGCTGCAGTTTTCTAAGCTTAACTACGAAGGTGGTTCTCATGCCTTAAAAGTGTTGAAAACATTGGGGTTTTCTAACTACAATACTCCAGTGTTCAATATTTCTGCTAATTTTTGACAGAACAGTTTAGATTTTAGATTAGAGATGATTTAAGGCTAACCAGAGAACCTAAGTTTAGGTTCAGGAGGACTTTGCAAAATGAATGCTTTAGCACCATTTTCTGGTTGCCGTATCCTCACAAGTTTCACACCCTCTGTAACCTGTTTTTGATTGGCTTAACATTTCCCAATATGAACATAAAAAAACAAATTACAAAGGCTAACCGACTGTAAGCATTCTTTATTAGACAGTAGTAGTATTGTAGTGGTTTTGTGTCAGTTTGCTTTATTGTGTTCAGGGTATTTTTTTGAATAATAAGGTTTAACTGCAGCAATGTAGGATAACAGAATAATTGTGTTTGGAATCTTTTTTTTATAATAAGAACCATTTATTTGTGTTAAATTAAGTCTTTTCACTGTACCGATGATCTACTTCTTTTAGGGACTTATTCTTTCTCTCCTTTGGGGTTTATTGGTGTTTGGCAAACCAACTTTAATTCACAATATTACAACCATCTGAGTCTGGAACAGGAGATTAAACATAAAAGAACAACAAAAAACACCAACAAAGGATTCTTTTATCAACATTAGTTTCTTTTAAGCAGCATCCCCTGGTGTACCCGTGTACCTGGCTCCACTTCCTTCATTTGCATCAATCCACATTAAATCCCCACCGTAAGCTGTTATTTACCTATTTGCAGAAGAAAAAAACAGTATTTCACAGATCTTTAAATTTCATTATGCCAACTTAGAGAGACAGTTTTCTGTACACATGGTAGCAATGAGAAATTGCATTTTATTTATTTTTTCTGCCTTTCTCTGTTGCTTTACCGAGGTAGTTTATCATCCCCTCCCAAAAGGTAGAATGGAGGGTGTTTGTTTAATCCTCTGCCAAGCTAGATGACTTCTGAAAACACTGCCAAAGAAGGAGAACTCCAGGCTGACGTATACGAAAGGTAATGGAGGAAATGTATGCAAGTACAGTGTCAACACAAACTCCAAGCTGTCAATTACTTGCCAGTGTGTGACAGTGTTTCTACTGACTGGGAAGATGGCTATAGCAACACACACTGTTAACAGGCGACCTCTCGGCTGGATTTCAGTGAGGCAATGAACTTGTCAGGCAGAGTAAAGTTGAGGCATCAACAGGTTTATTAGGCTCCACAGCATTCAGTCTCCATCAAACACACAATCTCTAGCTTAAATAGACACAGCTGATGGACTAAACCATTTACAATAGAAAATTAACTCCTCACTTCCATCAAAAAATACACATTTAAATCAAATATCTACAAACATACACTTAAGGTTATTTTTTTTATAAACATTTTCTGATTTAACTTGCACCCAAACAGTATAGAAATCCCACAAACTATGTGCACAACTCCCCCTGTATTCTCCATGGCCTCTCCCAGAACCTATAAATGGTGTCTGGACCCCCGGGGATGCATTTGTCCAAACACCCTGGAGAGGACACAGAAAAGACAGGTAAGTCACTTTCTCAGCACCACAACACTTATTTTGCACTTCCTTCTAACAGACTTTACACTAGCATTTGCTGAAGTTTCTAAACAGTAACCCTTGCTTGCTCTAAACACCAATCCTCTTTTCCACAGACAACCACCCCAATTGCTAATGGAGAGCAGCTGTGGAGAGCCTTGAACAAAGGGCTACATGCTAATTATTAAAATACCCAATAAATATTCAATAAATATTTTAAAAACCTTGTGTGCAAACTGTTCTTTATGTGCAAATTTATGCTTAAAGTGCAGTGCCCAATAAAGTGTCCTAGTGCTAAGCAAGCTGTTTTTAATAAAGTGCAAAGGGCCCTTAAAAGTGCTACAAGCTATTTACATAAAACTATATACATAAAAATAGTCCCAGTAATGAAGACCTCTTCATTACACACACCTACATAATGGTCACACACTCATAGAAAACCACAGGAAGATATTCACACAGTACACACGGCCTTTAGGTTTACCAGCACTTACTTTCACTCACACACACACACACACACACACACCTACACACACAAAAGACTTAGCTTTTCCTTACCTGACAGCAGAATAAATCTACAGTAAAACTCTCCCCTGCATCTTTCATAACTCAATATCCACCCAAATCCCTCTGTGTGCCATATCAGAGGAAGCTCTCTTCACTGATTTGATAAGATTGGAAATAAAAAAAAAAGAAATATTTGCTCCCACAATTTTCATGTAATAGTTTTCTTATGTGTCTTTTTTTCAGTTTTCTACTCTTCACCTTAACACTAAGCTATTGTGTTTGAAAGACAAGCAATTCAGTGAAGGGAAATGTTCAGGACCCAGTTGACCCATCCAATCCAAGGAAATATGGCATATGGCTTTATTAAACCCTCACCCACTGCACCCAGCTGTCAATGAAGGAAGAGAAAGGGGATAGATAAGACTAACAACATCAACATTTTAAAAAAATTTAGAGGAAGTCTCTTTTGAAAATCTCCTGGAACTAAACTGACAGTAAACTTAAACCCATAAAAGCATTAACACAGCTTGCAGACTATATTCACGGGTGCCAAAGGGAAAATCAAGGTCTTGTGAATTAGTCATGAGGGAGGAGAATGGAGGGTTTCAGGTCCAAAAACAACCCCTGAGGCCAATTATACTATTTCTAGTAAGTTGGCAATGCTTCAGACCTTTGCTCTAATCTTTATACCTTAGTTTTTGAAACACTGGCATGAGGCAGAGAGGCCACTATTGTCTGATTATAGACATAAACAAACAAAAAAAATCCCCTAAGTGTACACATGTAGCAGTCTATTCGACAATTTAAGATGTGACGTATAAAATTATGTGGTTTTTATTATGATATAAATTTTTATTTGACAGTATTTTTTACATCAGAATTTGGTCCTTTTTCAATAGTTGTATTATATTTATACTTGAATGAACTTCATTGAAGCTTTCCCTTAATTAAAAAAATTCTTAACTGTTGTGAACTTAAACACTTCCATTTGATCTCTACTGAACTTTTTTATTCACATTCTTTACAAAAGGATTTTTTTAAACGTAGTTCAAGAATCTGTTTGATTTTATTAACTTTATCCTATGATATTAGCTCAATTCATGTAACATCCAGAAGTTCCAATCAGAAGTTCCTAGCTACTGCCTTTCTATTAATCTTCTCAGCTATTAATGATAGTATGTTGGAGGCATAAGGTTTTTGCTGTTAATGGATAAAATCATCTTTAATTGCAGCAATTTTAAATGCTGTATACCATCCATAGCATAAATTATAAGCTATATATAGCTATTGAATATAGTTATAAAATGTATAAATAACTGCAATCTTACTTACCCATCTTTAAATTTGCGAAGGGCTCTGATGACAGATGCACTCTTCTTATTTAAAGTGCATCCACAGTCCATCAGACATATTGCAAAAAAACCTCTCTGAGCCTTCTGATGTCTCAAAAATAACACATGCTGCCTGTTCTGTGCAAAATCAACTATAAGGTCCAACACCTCTGAGACATCCATGTGTAGAAAATCCCTGGTAGTGGATAAAGTAATGAAATGTTGAGAGTAAAACATGTCCATTTGCAGACACCATCCTTGTTTTCTAGGGTTTGACCAAAGCTCTAGTCACCTAAAATAGTTTATTTTTACCCTTTTAAAAAAATATAAAAATGTTTGCATTCAAAATTTGCCTTAACGTCTTTCTGATATATATGGTCATAGTTTCAACCTGTGTTTCTGCTATGTAGTTCAATGTGTGAGACAAAGCATTGAAGACCAACTACATTATCTCAATCAAATCAAACCATTGCTAAACAGACTGAAATTAATGGGATTGAATATCTTGCCGTTAATAAGAAAAAGAAAATTTCAAAATAGCTTAAGTCCATCACTTGAAACTACAATTTAATTATGTTGTAGTAATTTATTCATTATGAATATGCTACATATAACAGTTTGAGATATAATCATAGGCCTCTGTAGAGATAACTGCTTTAATCCTAATCAAAAGGTTCCTTTGATTTACACCGACTGTAGCTGATAAGCAATTATAAAAAAAAATCTATGGGCATGTTTAAGATACAAAAAGGAAAATGATTATACATATGGTACTATTTTTTTACTTGTATTTTATTTTTGCTGACAATTTTTCAATTTTCTTTTGTTAGATTAACATTGAATTTTATGCTGAAAGAACCATATTTGATGGGGAAGCTTGTTCAATAATTAACAGGAGATTTATGAGAAGTTGTTTCAGGGAAACTCAAATACATTCCCCAACATTTGTCAAAATGAAAAGCATTCATAAAACACAATGTGATGCTGGTTGTATAACAAACATAATTGATAGCATGCCATTTGAACAAACCATTGTGGGCAACATATTTGTTTTCCTTTCCCTTTGCATTGTTAATGTTTTGGACCCACGCTTCGGCAACGATATTCATGTGCACAAAGGCCCAAGGGTATCTTTTGTTATTGTTGCTTCCAACTGCCAACGCTGAATCAGCCATTTTTAGTGAATAAGTCAGAATTCATTATTTCTCAAGGATCATGCTGCCATGTTTTTAGTAATGGAAATGAACTTGAAGGGCATGGCATAAAAGTCAGAAAGACAACAAGGTAGGAGAAAAAAATCACTGTAATTGATTAGTTTAAACTTTGCATGATAAAGTGCACCAACTACTCTGTATACATCCATACATTATATATATATATATATATATATATATATATATATATATATATATATATATATATATATATATATATATATATATATATATATATATATATAAACTGTTTGATAACTCAGAGGGGTTTAACATGCTTTAGAGTAATGTATGGTACAGACAGTTGCTCGTCCTTTGATTTTCTTGACTTAAAGAAATACAGTAATAATAATGACTAATGATTTTTTTTCATGAAAAGAAAAGATGATTTAAGGAGTAATTGAGCTAAAGTAAACAACCAATTAAGAATTTGGACTCACCCCTTATTGCTTAGTGTTTTAGTTAATTCTTACAATGGAGCCATGATTTATTCCTAATCACAATACAACCATTTACAAGCACACTGAGACAAATAGGAATATAGTATACAGAATAGTTTGTAAATTTTTAAAATATATTACTGCTCACAATAACGATCTTTAAATATTTTAACTGCTTCAAAAACTTTGCTCAGTCAGTTTCATGAGATAATCATTTTAATGTCATCTCATATATCTTTCAGCTTCTCATAGAGGTTTCCAGCACTTGTTGATTCCTTGTTCTTTACTTTTTTTTGTGCAGTTCATCCCAGGCCAGCTTGATTGGGTTATGGTTGGACTATGGAATGATTTTGCTCAAATCAACAGTCTTACCTGTAGCAAAACATGCCCAGACCAACGAGTAACTTCCACCATGCCACGCTACGAGCTTATTTTCACCCCAAAATCTCAAACTTTCACTCGTTGTAGACAGAACTGTTTTCAATTCGTCTTTGTTCCAGTTTCTATGTTCTTTTACCCTCTGAAGTATCTCCTTATACTTTGAAAAAACATCTCTCATATTAGCTCTTAATTGGCTTGTTTTGAATTTCAGTTGTGATTTCAAACTTTGGCTGAAAAAATCTGTTTAAAACATCTCTCTTCAGGTTTTGATTTATACACAATGGCATTAATTTTCATAGAGTGGAAAATAACTGTATTTCACCAGTAAAAAAATGGGCCCATAATTTGCTCACTGGCAAATTAAATGTATTTGATATTTTGAGTATTCAAGTTTACACGGTTGCATGTGCCTGCATTGGCGCTCTCCATGGTATCTGGTTTTACTCCACAGTTCAAAAACATTAATTTTAATCGAACTGGTGACTCTGAATTTATCTTTGGGGAGAACGTGTGTGGGTGTGCAATGCTGAAATGTGTGCTGGCCGTGCGATGGGCTGGCAAACTGTTCAGGGTGTACGAGCCTCTTGCCTGTATCTAGCTTGAACTTCCTCCAGAAACCCCCTAATGAACATGAGCTAGATTAACTGCATAGAGTGAAGGATGGACATTGGCTAAAATATACAATGTGTGTGTTGGACACAAGATAAAAAAACAATAAAAACAACATTTAAAAAAACATTTTAGCAACTCTGAATAAAAGTTAATACGATAGAGATTTATTTATACCGGATTCGTGTTGTGGTGCCAATATCTTACAGTAAATAGGGTGTAAAGATTATGAATTACAGTCACCCCCACTTTTTTTGTTACTTTTGTGTTTGTGTTTTTTTTTTATTATTAAATGTAATTTAAATGTCAAAGACTGAAAATAAAATAAAAATGCAGCTGGGTATATCTTGAGACTGTTTTATCTTTATTGATTACATGCTGTGTAAAATTTTCATGGTAAATCTCTTAATTTTTTTAAGTAACTTGTAAAAAAATTGCTTATTCAAAATTAGATTATAATGCAACATTGTATCCAAATAACAAGTATTCATGGTTATTTGTTGGGTTGTTTTCCCCTCAAAATATGGCTTTTGAAAATATTTAAAAGGAGATTCTATCATTTTAAAAGGAAATAATGTTAAAGAATGTTTAATGTCTTAATATTTTTATGTCTTGACATTTTCTTGAATCTAGATTGGCCTACGCTATACAGTAAAGAGGCCAAAGAGGATATATATATATATATATATATATATATATACAATGTCTGAACCTACTGTAAGTGTCTAATTGAATAATTGTGAC